ATAATAAAAAGTGGCTCACATGGCTCCAGGGAGTGAACAAAGGCCTCCTGTAGTGAATCGATGCGTTTTTGTAAGAAAAATAACCATATTTAAAACGTAATAATTTAATCTAGTTTGTGCTCACTGTTGTACACGGAAGCAGCTCCGGGTGGATGACGTAGGATGTCGGTGTTGCGCATGCACCGCTCAGAAGTGACGAACGTGGAAGCGCAGGGGAGAGATCAAAACAAAGTGTAAATTTGTAAAGAAGAGTGTCGGAGGATTTCGATATAAGCCAAGAGGAGACTGGTTTTCCTTTGCTAAAGTAAGGAAACTTGAACTGCAACACCCGCTGACTGCCATTAAACAGCTTGAAAGATAAGTCAATTCTTAATATAACTGCGATTGGATTCATCTGAAATAGGGATGTTCATTTCGCTTATTTTTAACCGAATAAGGATAAGTGTCTGTGACCCGTTAAAAATACTAACATTTGTTTCCCGGGGATTCATTTTACATGCGCAAAAAGTTAAGCAATGCTACCTTGAAAATGCAGCCTGTTCATTATCATAATAAAATACAGTCAGTCAAACATATGGGAAAAAAAAAATTTAGTTAAAAAAAACTGTGCCGTTAAGTGTTATCACAGTACCGCCGTGATGTTATACAAAACATTTTGTTTTACGTGGATATTGGAACACGAGTGAAGTACATAATAAATAATATTTTGGCATTCAAATACATCGCGAATACGGAAACATTTGATTTTGTGTGGAATGAGAGACCCAACGTTGGTTTCAGTTTAGTTTTAGAATGAATTAGTTTTGGCTTGTCGTTTAGGGTATATATTGCTATAGCTTCTTATATTTTTAGTTCTTGTTCTTTTCTAAATACTGTTAATTGAAATTATTTGTTGTGGAGTGAGGGGAACTAAAATAGCCTAGCTATGTTTACAGCGTTTATTATAATGTTTGTAAATATTTCTGAATGAAATAATAAAATGCGACTTATGTTTGTTTCCCCCTAAAAAACATTTTTTTTTTATACGCATAGCGTATTTTAACCATGCAGCAAACCTTTTTAAATATTTTGATATATAAATTAAAATAAATAAATAATTAAATTACTTATTAAACCGTTTAACTGATTGTATCGGTCAAAATCGGTCAGAATTCTTACGGTCGGTTAAACGGTTATAAAAACATCCCAAATCTGAAAGAAGTCATATACACCTAGGATGGCTTGAGGGTGAGTAAATAATGGGCTAATTTTCATTTTTGGGTGACCTATCCTTTTAAGCCAGTATAGTTTAGCAGATGTTTTGTTGGTCTTCCCCACCCAGTCTCACTGTCACCTGGGGAACGTTTCCAGGCTGTATTTAACAATGAGCGAACCAGTCTGAGATAACCCGCTTCGCCCCAGCATATCACTGTCTGTGTCACTGTATCCACCTGACCTCTTTTCCTTACAATCCCCCCTGCTCTCTCTTCAGTCTGGTGTGCTTCATTGATTCACAAGACCTAAAAAAATCTTCTGTCTCCACCCTTATTCTTCTTTATGTGTGTGTGGTATCAGATTATGTTACTTTGTGGCTTGTATTATATGATGAGTCTCTTGTGTGTTCTCCCACACTCCGCCCCATAATTTCTTTTAACTACATACATACTAGGGCTGTGTATCACCAGCAAAGTCACGATACGATACATATCACGATACAGAGCCCACGATACGATACATATCACGATACATGGCTGCACTGAATTTCACCTCAGCAGAATTTAGAAAAACAGCTGTTTATTAAACACTGCTTACTATAGTGCCATTGCTAACTATTGGCAGAGCAGGCAGTTGACCTCTGCATTATGAAGGGCCTCCATAACTGTACCACAGTACAATATAGGTAATTGCATATGTTTCATGTTTACATTGTGCACTCCCCACCAGGTACAATATTCTGATTGTTTGCATCTTGTTTTTAAGCCCATAAATAATAATGTACTTGTTCTAATAAATGTATATTGTAATGTACTCATTCTAATATAATTTATATTGCTGGCAGGTTATCATTGCACAAATTAACACACTCTCTACAATAAAAAAATAAAAATTAGAAGAGTTCTAAACTAACGCGCTGTCTTCACTGTATCTAACGCACACACGCTCAAGCCCCGTTCACACCGCCAGCGACACACAGCGACAGAGCGACATAATCCCATTCATTTTCAATGGAGAGCTGGCGACACGAGCGACAGTGACCGTTGGCGACGGAATGTGGGCGGGTCAAGCGATGCGAGTCAAG